GCGGACTGTTGGAAAAGGTGACGGTAGACAGTAAGTTTTTGCCCACCTCAAAACAGTTTCTCTGTCTATTTAGCAAAATATCTCATGAAGCACTGGACAAATTTATTGAATCTTTCAGAAAGAATTTATCAGCTGCACATCTACAGCTCATTAGCTTTAAAATCAGCCTAATTCAAGATGGCCACCACAGCCAATTGACCTTCAAAAGCACAAAAATGGCTGTAGCTCTGCCACTTCTACAGATATCGGTTTAAAATTGGGTGTGGTAGTATCTGAGACTGATCCCCAACAGGTAATTTTAGGTGTAACAGATTGTGCAAGACATTTGTTAAAAAAATTTGCTATAAACATTTAGGAGTCAACTCTGACTGTCTGTTAGCAAAACATCTCTCGAACCACTGGACAGATGTTAATAAAACTCCTAGGAACTTTTTACTGAATGCACCTGTACAACCGATTAACTTCTGAAGCCACCTCAATTCAAGATGGAGGCCACAGCCAACTGACCTTTGAAAACACAAAACTTGCTGTAGCTCAGCCCGTGTTGCAGGTGTTGAGCTATAATTTGACGTGGCTGTAGCTGAGAGTAATTCACAACAAAGCTTCATGTGCTACTCATCGCTCAAGGTCTTGGCCTAAAACTTTAATCTTAACTGCTGGAGTCAACCCTGATTGTCTGTTAGCAAAATATTTCATGAACCACTGGTTGAATTTTAAAGAAACTTTCAGAAAATAATTACTGGATGCACATCTACAACTGATAATTTATTGGAATCAACCCAGCTCAACATGCCCACTACAGACAGCTGATCTTTAAAAACACAAACATGGACTTAACTCAGTCAGTTTTACAGAAACTAAGCTAAAAATGAACGTGGTATTAGCTGCAAGCATTAAAATACACAAATGGTACATTACTACTCAAAATCTCACATATTAAACAAAGCCAAGAGACATTACCTTGTGACCTTGTGACTGACCTTGTGTTGATTTTGCATATGACAAAAAAAACCAAACCTGACACAAGAACAAGTTGGTTGTTGACTACAAAAAATTCAAATAAATATATATATATATATATATATATAAACTTCACAATGTTATTTCAATGTGATCAATGTTATTTCAGAAGGCAACAAATCTGTAGCTGTTGTTCTGAGGGCATTAGTTCTGATAGATGCAGTGTAAAAGTAACAACAGAGTCTCAGCCTTATATTACAACCATGTTTGTTAGAGGTGGTAACAACTGTAAGAAAAGGCCAGAGGGTTTATCTAAAATCCACATGACAGGCTTTGAAGCATGAATTAGTCCTAAAATCACAACTAAGTGCTTATCTTGTAGCTTTATTTTGAACTTTCTGCAATTTATCCAGATCTTTTCTGAACCACTGCAAACAGCTGGACAGTAGTCAAGGTGACACAGGACTAAAAAAATGAAAGACTAGAAGATCTATTATAACTCTCAGCTGTTTGGCCTCTTTAACTTGTTCTATTGATTGTCCATTTAAAGAAATATGCAACATTTGAGTCGGTCTAAAACACACCATGCACTTCACTTTTGACACATTCAGTTTTAACCTGCTCTCTATCACCCACTCAGAAACAGACAATAGTTCTTGTTTTAGCACCTTTTATACACAATCTAAACAGTCAGAAGATATGCATATGCAGTTATTCATGCCTTACTCAATACATTTGGCATGCCATTTATGAAAATATTAAATAGCAGAGGACCGAGGTAGCTGCCTTGTGGAATTCCACATGGAACGGTCACAGGTACCGTTAGACATAACGCACTGTTTCCTGTTACTGAGGTAAGTACTCATTAGGTCGAATGATTTTTTTTTTTTAAACCACAAGCCAGTAGCTTCATAAGTAAAATCTATTATGCGTCACCATTGACCACCTGGAAACGTGGGCTGGTGTTGTGCCAAAAACCGATTGGCTGCACAATGGCGGCCATGGGAGCGTGCACGGGATGACTATAACAAGAATTTAACAAGATGAACACTTAAAAACAATTATTTGTTTGCTCAAAATTATAGCAAGGCTGTGTCTCAGTTGAACTTTTCTTTAATAAATGCACTTTAATAGTCAAATCAGCTGCATTTCTCCTGGGCGGCGTGAAGAAATGCAGCTGATTTTACATTTGCTCCAGGAGTTCTGAGTGAGATGAAGGTGGTTTACATGGCAAGCCAAGTGTCTCATTAATAGCCACTTTTACCTATTAATGAGACACTTGGCTTGCCATATAGGTCAAGGGCCCTCTAGTGGCTGAAAATGGTAATGTTAAATATTTTCCATGTCAGAATGAATGAAATTGTCAGATCTCACCCAAAAATTGGATTATAAATATGAATAAAACATAAATAAGTCACTTCACTGTATAAGTCACAGGACATGTTAATTTATGACCAAAAACATGCACGTTAGGCTGCCTTCAGGCCCAAGCCTCCCTTGCAGAAGAGATATGTGATCTCAGTGGGATTTGCCTGGTTAAATAAAGGTTAATAAATAAATAATGCAAAAAGATGTGACTTATACAACGAAAAGTACGGTACAAGAAGACCTTTCATTAAATGTCCTTCATATTTTTTAAATTTATTTTGCATTATTATTACTTTATTTCTGAATCATCTATTCAGCCAGTTATCATCCATAAGGGGACCTTGCATATCTCACAAATAACCTTCTTTTTGGGGCATGTTTATCACACAAAGCTAAAAATAATTTACAAAAAAGTATTTAATGCTAGCTCTGCTTATATGATCTGTAACATATCCTATTTGCCACATCATTTATGAAATCATATTCTGAAAAAGATTCATACATTTATTTATATATTACTTTATGGCCCTATGAAGTTTTTGTTTTTACAGCCAGAGCAACAGCATTATGATCACTACAGCCAACTGGCACAGAAATTATATTTGAACACTTTTTAGTGCAGTTTAAAAAAAAAGAAAAGTTTAATGCATGTAAAGGTTATCGTGGTTAGTTCTGGTTCTTCAGCAGCGGTACCACTCAGTGTTTTCTTCATGTGATAATGATTAGAAAACCAATCTATGTTCATATCTGCAAAAATAAAAGCACAATTGTTTGCATCAGTTACCTTTTGGATCAGTGTGCATTTATCAATCAGATATTCAGTGTTTGAATTTAAATCTATTACAACATGATGTTAATAAGGGTCTAACAACTGGAAAATATACCTGAAGCCATAACGCTTCTACACCAACCACACCGAGATCCTTATTTTATTTTAACTGGAATGCTATGAATATAAAATGCAATACCACCACCGTATTTATTTGTGTCAACTCTAAATATTTTATATCCTTACATGTTTACTGCTGTGTCCTCTACCATTTCATCCACGTGAGTCTCAGTAACGGCCATTATATGTATATTTTTTAGCATTTTATAGGCGTCTTAAACCACATCCTACTGTGCCCATATTTGTTAAAAATTAATGGTCCTCTAATAATATGAAATAAAGCAAATGAAAACATGAAATGAGATATATAGACATTTTCATAAAGACCAGTAATAAGCAAAGAGATCTGTTGAAAAAGATCCATTTAAAAGATTATATGAAAGTCTGGCTTATATTAGACAAAAGCTTAATAAATTAGGCAGGGTTTCGCACAACTGTCAGAGGGTGTGTGTGTGTGTGTGTGTGTGTGCGCGCGTGTGACTGAAAACATTTAAAAACTAAAAGAATAAGAAGAAAGAGCGGAAATCAAGTCCGATCTGGGCTTCAAAATAAAAGTTTGGATTTACCTTTCAGTTCCGTTTGAATTTTGCTTAAATTGTTTTTCTCTCAATAAATACACAAACAGGACTTGTTTAGTAAATGTTAACTCGTACAGCTTTATACATTTCAAATTCACTAATAATTTGCACTGATAATTGACAATCCAACCTTTATTTAAACAGGTTAGTCCCACTGAGCCAAGAGGACTCGTTTACAAGAGAGACCTGTATTTTAACGAAGAGCGATGACAACAGTGGACAACAAATGATGCATACAAATTTAAATTTGTCTTCTTTTTCTACAATTGAAAACAAAACGATAATTAAAAGGATAATTAAAAAGAAACGTAGCGAAAAAAACAGCTAGATTATTAGGCGGTGTAGAATACTAAAAACATGAACATGTCTGGTCCTTGCCAGGAACTTAACAGATGTTTAATGTTGTAATTAATGTAAAAACAGATGCTGACAATAGTAGACTTTGTAAATGATCCCAGTTAAATCGCAAAAAAACTTAAAATTTTTGTGATTTATTTACCTGGATAACGGAGCTGACATCGGGAAGATCCCTATTAAAGTAAATGAACAAAAAAAAATAAAAATAAATAGCCACGTTTAAGAAAACATAGGTATCCAATCTAAGACTTTTACTATTCTTCTGGGTTTATTATGAGTAATTATTCATAGTGGGGTTTTTATCTGCAACGGTGGAAAGTGGCAAACATTTCAAAACAGATAGTGCCACACATATTTGCACTTTTATTCTGAAATTCAAACCCGGATGTAGCGCCTCCATTTTTTTTTACCTTGACGCTGCCGTTTTGAGAAGCAGGATTTAGGACCCCGCGGAGCTATTTAAAAGAAGCACATGGTCCGTACTCACAAGACAACACTTTTTATCAGCATTTTTTTCCTCCGGAATTAATGTCGCTCCAGAGGACGACGGACACAGCAGCGGTTTGTGTGTTTCTTTGTGTTTTTGTCGCACTTTTTTTTTCCCGCCTGTCTCGCGACGGCTCCTCGAGCTGGACGTCATGGGTCAGTGAAGGAAGGCGCGCGCAGAGCAGACTCAGCTGTCATTGGGACAAATAAAGGACCGCTCAGATTTCAGGAAGTCACTTTAATTATTGTTTTTTTTTTTTTTTTTTTTTTAATTTTAGGAGGAAAGGGGGAGGTTCTTGCTCATCAGCTGTAGTTGGAGTGTTCATGTGATGCTGCAGTAGAGAGAAGCCGTCCACGCTTCAGCACCATGAGCCCAGAGAGCCTGAAGTTGGTTCTGACAGCACTTCAGGCTTTAATCATCCCTCTGTTGTGTGACAAGGTGCACTCTGCTGAAGGTAAGAGGTGAGGAAGGGTGATGCTTTTTACTTCATCTTGCTTAACTGAGACTATTATAACATTCCCCCCCCCCCCTCATCTTTATAATAAACATGTAATGGATTATTCAAATCATTCGTGTCCCCTTTAGCTGTTTTTACTAAGCCCTCTACAACACGTTTGGGCTTCCTGTCAATATTTTCAGCAGATCAGTGTGTGAAAAACAAATATTAGTACCTCAAAGGAGGAGAGGCTGTAAAAATAGATGATTGGTAATCAGTAATAGCGCTTTGGTTGCTGCATAATTGTTAAAGCACTTCAAGCATACTTTTAATCTTTCAATTAGCGATGAATACCAGGGCAAACACAAGGATCTCATTGTTGATTTGAGCTTAATGGAATGAGCAGCTTTTTATAAAACGTTGGAAGTGTCTGGGCTCATGGGGGAATGTTCAAATGCCAAGTTATTTGTGCTTGCCCTGTTTTATGATGTCAACTTTTTTTAAAATTTTTACTCTGGATGCACCGGTTCTCTCACAAAAACTGTGTTTTTGTCAAATTTGACTTTCTGGAGCCAGTTTAAATAAAAACAACAACAAAAAAAAAAAAGGCCTAAAAAAATCCCCACTGTTGCGACGCTTAATGTGGAACCATGGGAATTAATTACTAGCAAGGGCAAAAGTGTTAAACTGGCATTGAAGCAGGAGGAAGTTGCTCATTTATTCATCAGCAGTTCATCATCGTCAGACATTCGCCTTGATGCGTGTCTCCCATGGGTGTAGACTTGCCGACAACCGCTGTAACCACTTTGTGTTATTTGTCCTAACACAATACATACACCTGCACTACAATCATTGGATGTGAGTGAGATAAATGAATGGAAAGGCTGAACAAATACCGTTTATCTGCCAAATGTCACAGTTTTTATCTTTCTTTGTATTGCTCATTAACTGAAGAGAAAAATAAAAGAAAAGGCCTTCTGAACCTTCTCATGTTTGTAGTTTTTTTGCATATTTTAGATGTTTGTTTGCTCCAGCGCTCCTAATTTAAATCAATAGGGAGGCTTCTGCAGAACATGAAGAAGGTCATTTAACCATTGAATCAGTGGGTTGGAGCAGGAAAAGAAGTTAAACATGCCCTTGAGGACCAGGATTGGACACCCCAGCGTTAAAGCTTTCACAAATGCTCCAATTTAAAGCATAGTTCAAATCTTTTGAAGTGTGATTCTGTAAAAGGGTTATCGTAGTACTTGTAGAAAAGTATTTGAGTAGCTTCACTTCTGAAGCCAAAGTGTATCTCTGAGTACAATTCTGATCATCAGCTAGTCTGAACAGATCAAATAGTTCCACATTATGTAGATATTTCAGCAGAAATATTACAACATTACTGTCAGAAGTGCCCCACGCTGCACCAGAAGTGCTACAGCTAGCTGCTGCTACTATATGCATTTGCATAGAACCATTGAATTCTGTATAAGTAATTGTGTTATGCAAAATTGTTAAATTCACAGACTCATGTTCAGGCTACTGTTCTTACGCTGTATTGTTTTGCATTATTAATGTTTAGTGCATATCTTAGATCTTTTAGTGTACCGTTTGGTGTTCGTTTAGCTATTTTCTTAGTGTATATCATATACTTTTTTTTTTACACTTTATATTTTTGCAATTTTTGGGTGTATCTGGGACCCTGAGTACATAATTTCATTCCATCTCATGTACCACATGTGATGTGAATGACAATAAACTTGATTTCAACTTGAACTAAAGTGTCCCGAAACGTATGCAGGGATTTATAATAGCTTGTTTGAGTCAAACAGTCTTGAAGTCTCATCGCTAATGTTTTGAACATGCTCAGAAAAGATGACTAACTTTCTCTTATAATCTCGAAGTCCTACTTCTACTCCTAATAGGCTACACTATTTCTCAAACTTGAAAAAATTTAAAGAGCTATCTACAAGTCATAAGGTATTAATTGTTCATAACCATTTCACAGAAGACAAGATCATGTCAAGACACACCTCTAAATCCAGTAACATTTAAATAGTACTCTCTATCATTCAGTAAACTAATACATTTGGAACCACAAACCATCATTAAAGACCACTGCCCAGCCAAATTGAGTTATCTGTATAATTGGATTTGGACAGGCAGGTAACTTATAAGCTTGCAGTTCTTGTGAATAAAATCCAGAGTTTATTTCTGGAAATGGGAGAACTTTTCAGAAGGACCATCAGTGCCAGTCAGACCTTTACACACAGAAGCCATTTCTCACTCAAAGACATATGACAGGAAGTCCCAGACCCCAAATGGATCTCAGACCACAAGAAACAAATTTGTCTGATAGATGAATACATATAATGTGGGAGGATCTTGCATAGCCATTGAACACAATTCATACAGTCATACATGGTGACAGCAGCATCAAAGTGTGCCTGATCAGGAAGACGGAAAGATGGAAGCAGATATTTTTCAGTGTGCTCAAGTGACACCAAGAAAACACAGGAGAGACTTCAGAAAAATTCCCCAAACTCTCTACTGAACCAGCTCAAATTGGGACTTAAACCCAGTAGAACGTCGTCAATAGTTCTCATCCTGTCTTATTTGCAAAGAAGATGGGAGAAACCTCCAAGGAAATAGTATTCAAAAGCTTGTGAGAAGATTCCCAAAAAGACTTGAGGCAAAGACTCAGTAAGGAATCTAAATGTTTTTCATTAATACAACATTTTCTGTCTTTTTATGAGAAATATGTCAAAAACTTGGTATTTTAATAAAAAAAACATGTGCAGACAGGTTTAAAAAATGAAACTAATTTATTGACAATCCAATGAAGAAAAACTTGAACGTGCATGAAAACTTGAAAATGTTACAAAGATGTAGGCCTGTCGTGGTAAACAATAAATCAATTAATCGCATGATAAATGAAAATTATCAACCTCATTTTCGTTTATCGACATTCATGTCTTCATGTCTCTCTCTTTTCTCTCTTAACTCCGGTGATCTTCACTGACCCCTCCCCTTCTCTTTAAAATCTGTTTTAACCGTCCAAAATCGCGTTTTTTGGATCGCTAAAAGCAGCTAAGCCAAAAAGCTAAGTTACGAGCTAACAGGCCGACCTCGGGGGAAAAAAACTCCGTCTTGTCAAAGCTCCACAATTCACGGTTGAAACCCGTGCCTTCATCTAAAATGTTTTTCTCTGCAAAAAGAACCTGAGAACTTGTTTACTGATTTTTTTATTAAAAGCTTTGTGTGATAAATGCTATGCTAAAGAGCTCAAACCACACCGAGCGTCCGCCATTTTGAGAACCGAAGAGAGACAGCCCATGTCACATCAAAGAGCCTCCCTCCCATTTTTCTTAAAGAGAACAAGCTGCTCGCTCCCTCACTATCCATCCTTCGGTTCAAACACTGCCGTCCAGTGGTCAAAAACAGTACTACACACAAAATTAACCAACATTTCTTCTTTAGTTTGACAATAATGACTAATTATTGAGTAATTTCAAACAATATTATCGTTTATCGCAATAATTTCTGAGACAATTAATCGCCCAGCAAATTTTGTTGTCGTGACAAGCCTACAAAGATGAAAAGATTTTAGATGAAGCAAAACAATTAGTGACTCTGACTTCATCATGAAGCAGAACAAATCTAAATCGTTAGCACTCCTTCTTTTTTTACGCCTCACCACTTTGTCTTCAGCTTTTTGCACTTTTCTCCAAGGCTGAAGAGACGGAGCCGCTCAGCTCTGCGAAACGTCATGTTTATATACATATTTCATGAAACCGCTCCTTGAGTTTTCTTGTCGGTTTTCCTCCCCGTCAGTCCTGTTTGTTTCTTAGCCTGAGATCATCTTTTCATCGTGAATGATTTTCCTCTACGGTTGACACTCTTGGTGTCAGCCAGTATTTTCTAGCCAGCTGCCGTGCTTCAGCCAACATGACGGCCTCTGCCTCGGGGCGTCGCATGCAACTTGCCTGTTGCACCCTCAGAAAAATGAAAGTTGAGCAGGGAATATATTTTTGGACTGCTGTAAAACATTCCTTTAGTCAGCAGCGTCCCTCCCTAAAGAGACATTATCACCGTGATGTGACTCATCCAAAGTCAAAGGCGTTTAATATCTTTTCACTTTGAGTGGATTCATTTTTTCCAGATGACTTGTTCAGGATATTAAAAACCCAGGAGGTTGGTCAATGTGCGCCTGTGCATCAAGACAGATTGATCAACCAGTTGCTGTTCTGTGTGGGGATACTTGTATTGGAGAAGAGGAAATAGGTGGACTGAGCTTATGTAGCGTGACTTTACATGTTGCTTTCATTTCTTCAAATCTCCTTTTGACGTATGTGACCCACCCGTGTAAAGTTTTAACACACCAGCTGAAACGCGATACTGGCTTTGAGTTTTCACACCCAGATGGGTCATAGTTTAGCTCAGGATGCTTCATTCGGCTGCATCACATATTTCTTGACAAAGCTGTCTGGGTTAGAATGCGTACTACCCTATCTGTGCCCCACAAATAAAAAAAATCAATACATGAAACTTAAAAAACCTTGAAAAAAAAAACAACTTCCAAACATTTCGTTGTATACTTAATAATAAAGTGCTATGTGTTGCCATCAGTGTATGCTCCCATACAATGGCGACATTGGTTCTCTGCATTTAACCCATCACACCTGGGATGCACCCAGGTGGGGCAGTGGGCAGCTATTTGGGTGTCCGGGGAGCAATTGGGGATTGGGTGTCTTGGTCAGAGACACCATGACATGCGGGAATGGCTGGGGGTTGAACCTGGGACTTTCGGGTCCCAAGTTGGCTGTCCTAGCCCTACCCCACCTCGGCCCTGAGGGTGCATGTGTTAAGGTTTCAAATACTTCTAGGTTTTATCACCTGCTGCCGAAATGTGGACAATAGACCTGTCATGATAACAAATTTTGCTGGGTGATTGTCAAATTTAAGAAAAAATGTTGGTTAATATTTGTGTGTAGTACCTTTTATTGATCACTCGATGGCAGTATAAGACTGTTTGA